CACAACCACTAATCTCTGTGGGTTTGGCTTTCTCCTAGGACAGCATAGGGGCAGAGTGTGGGCCATGCCATGTACCAGGACTGTTCTTGATAAGCAGTCTGGATGAAGTCAGCCTATTTCTGATGGGGAAGAAAGCTTAGAAAAGTGGAAGCCTTGGCTTGTATTGCTTTATAATGTATTCCTTACATCGGGATCAGGCCAAGCTGACTGTACCATTTGAGGATTGCAGCTATTTTGAGCAGAACCAATATTTGAGAATGTGAGTGACAACAATGAGAGGACAGATGTTTACTGGTTCAGTCTTCACATGCAAAACTCTTGTTGTGTATTCAGTCATTTTCTGAAGATGGGTTTCTTGCTGTTGTAACATCAGTAGACAGCAGCGCAATGTGCCTTCCAGTTTGCTGTGACTTCCTTATCCAGCCCCTCTTTATATTCCAGGAACAAAGTTATTAGTTTTAAAACTGCAAAGTTACTAGTTTTAAAACTGCAAATAGATTTTATCTCAGCATAGTTATAAGAAACATTTAATTTTACGTTGCCAATTTTCAAACATTTCTTTACACTCCAGCTAGGTAAAACAGTAAGGAGTTGGTGCAGCACAGTGATGAATTAATAACTTGCTCACTAGAGCAAGATCTTATTTCCCTCTTAAGCAGATACCAGGCCAGACATTTTGGAAGAGCTTAATCAAAATCCTCATCAAAAGCCAAACGAGTGGATTTTAAAGAAAGTTTAATTACAGTGGTCTAACCACCCAGCATCATTTGCTTGATTTGATTAACGTAATGAGGAGCACATTTAATGAGAAATGCATTAATTCATTCAAACAAGTGGTTTTATCTGAGGTATTAAGTATCGGCTCAGATTATGTACCGCAGAAACTATTACAGCAAAAACTGGCTGAGGTCAGAGCAGTAGTCATGCTGTAATTACAAGCTCCCAGCCATAAGCTGAACTTGCACAGTGCTTGACATGACTGAAAAAGCAGGACTCTCAATTTTAAAAAGACTCACATAAATATGGGGTTTTGCTTCCATTCCACAGCTGAAATCTACGTCCCTTAATTTTGGATGTTCCGAAAATTCAGGAATTTGAATGGTATTTCTCTGAGTTTCAGACGGTTGCACAAGCAGACATTATGAGCAAATGACAAAGCTGGAGCTCAGTGGGCTCTCAACACCACCCACAGCCCTAGACCAAACAACCCGTTCCCCATTTTCATTCTGTTCTATCTCTTTCATGCCCTTGTCACAGAGGATTGTACTGGCATCCCTTCTCCACTGCCTGGCTGCATCTCCCCACTTCTGCTAATGCCCTTCTCTCTCTGTGCTGCCCTGAGCATGTTACCTCCTTGACTTCTGCCACGCTCCCATGTCTGTATTCAGTCCCTGCTTGTTTTTTCCTGTGGTGTGTGCTCTACCTCTGCATGAGCTGCCTTTTCTGTTGCTTTGTACCGAGTCCATACAGCCCCGAAACAGCTTTGATTTTACAGCATGGTTGCACAGTGGACTTAAGCACTATCTATTGCTCAGTCTTACCTCAGTTACCACCAGCAGCTTTGAAACTGCTCTCTAACGGGGCAGGAGGCTGGTTCCAGCATCCTCCTGGGATAAGTGCACACTGACAAGTGCAGATTGGCGTGAAGGCCATGTTTTGCCTCTTGTTTATCTCCCATTTAAGTCAGCACAAGAGTGACAGTCAGACATTATTATAAATAGTGAAAGCAGGTGCCAACTTTTACCTGCAAGTTTGAAACTTCTGATGAAGGCTTTCAAAATATAAGCTGAAGTGGAAAAAAAGAATCATCAAAAAATAGACCTAAGGATTTTTAATTTTTTTTTTTTTTTTTTTTCAGTAGAAGATGAGCAAGCAAAACATTCTACTGAACTGAAAACCATAATTCTTGGGATTGTTTCTGTCACTTGTCTTTAGATCACAAGGAAAGAAGAGTAAAAATCGGAGTCACAGTCTCCTGATTTTAGAGAAATTCTAAAATGTGCTGCGTCTGACTGCTGCACACCAAGAGGAACCAGTGAAATATCACTGGTATATAAAATATTTGCACAGAGGAAAGCATTAGCAGTGAGTACCTCAGCAGTACACTCAAGGATGTTCCCAAGATAAAAGCAATCCTGTTCTGGAACAAGCTACCCAAGTAGCATATACAGACCCTTTAAACAGCTGCCCCTTGATGTCATATTTGGTAACACTGCATAGAATCTAGGCAGGAACTCATAAAACATAAACTAGTAGAAAATCATATCTTAAGTTACATCTTCCCAGTCTCTCAGCCTGGCCTCGAGGAATCAGCCAACCTTTCTAATCTTGTCACCTGAAGAAAACTTCCCAAGGATCAATATTTTTGACAGTGCTAGAGTGACAAATGCAAAAAACTGTCTCTACAGTCCTCACAGAAAACACCTTCTACAACAGAACCATGACATCCAGTGGATTCTCAGCATGGCCGTCCCAGAACATGCACTTCTTCCTACATACTACATGAACTCCCTCTGTACTACAGTGAACTTGCACTGAAAATGTGTGTGTAAATGAAAAACTCGGTTAACAACAGGAGAATGATTCTCAAAAGAGCCATTCTGCCTCTGATTGCTCAGCCCTCACTCTCCATAAAATCCTACAAAAGAAACTGCAAAGACAGAAGTCAGGATTAAAATTCAAAAAATGACTGGATCCCAAAAACCACTGAATCCAACAACAGTGATTTTATGGCATGTTGCAATTTACCTCAGACACTGCTTGCTAATCTCATTTTCTCAGGAGATAATTACCTGTGCATTTCTTCCACCCCGTGTTCAGTGGAGCTGAAGACCTTATTATAACTCCTCTTTCTAACATCCCCTCTGTTCCTTTCATCTTGAAGTACCTGACTGATTATTATAATGAAACTAAATTCAGACAAATTGCTTCCAGTCTTTCCTTATCTGGCAGTTTGCTAGTTATGTTCCTGCTTCTGTTTTTCACCTCTGAACCTTGTCTGTTTTTTTTCCTAACAGGTGTAGCAATAACATGTATTACCTCTCTTTCCAGATATTCCTTCTGAGTGTCATGGCTATTACCTGTTTCCCCCAAACTTGCTCAACCGGCCTCCACTTTGGAAATATTGAGTGTGGTTCCAGATATGGCTCCAGTTCTGATTCACAGATTCCTTTTTGAATAGCAACATGGCTTTTAGTCTGGCACTATCCAGGCTCTCAACAGCTTCAAAGAGATATTTGGGTTTGATTTGGATTATGCAGAGAGTAGGAGCACAATTTAACAGGCCAAACATCAGTCACTATTTATAAAGGGAAAGGAAGCATTTTTAGTTCAGACCTTCCTTAAATGAAAGTGAAATGACACGGAGGAGATTCAGGAACAAATTGGTCAACACAGTTGAGCACAGTTCTGTACCACTCTATACAGTCAGAGACGGAAGATTTAACATCACTTCTTTCCAGTACTTCCCAGGTACTGTAATGATCTTTAGCAATGCCCACTGTGTTGCTGCAGTATATTATTGCTTCTCCTCTTTATCTGTGGAGCACAGAAATCATAACTTTCCTTCCCTGCATTGAAATTCAGTATAGAATCCTAGAATCATTAAAGATGGAAAAGACCTCTGAGATCATCTAGTTCAACTTCCAGGCCACCCCCACCATGCCCAGCAACCACATCCCTCAGTGCCACATGCACATGGTTCTTGAATGCCTCGAGGGATCGTGACTCCAACACCTCCCTGGGCAGCCTGTGCCAGTGCTTAAAGGTGTAACCATTTGGGAATGGTTAACCAGAATTTTATGTAGAAACTCAACATAAATTTACCTAGGAAATTTTGCTGTGTCCCACACAGACCTATGTAATTGCATGCTAATTTTAGGAAGTATTAAATATGCTACTACACAAAGTTCTGAAGCAACACGCAAACTACCACCATGGCAGAAGTTCCTCTAGCTTGCAGAAGAAGCAAGTATTGTATTGCTTACTCACCATGGAGCCCTCAATGAACACTTGGAATTCATTCTTCAAAAGCAAATATCTAAATTTCATGCCTAGGGTAGCAGTTTACACCTTTCCCCTTACACCAAAAGACAATCAGAGACAATTCAGGACAGGACTACAGAAGCAATTTTAAGGCTTGTATTTCTCATCGAGAAACTAGGAGCAGTCTGTGACCATGACCACATGAGAGATCTGCAATCTCAGTTTACCATGTTCTGAGTAAATGTTTACCCTGTATGTGCCTGTCACCACGGAAAAACATGGGGGACATACAAGAAGGTATATTCACAGGCCCGAAGGAAAAGCAAGCCACAGTGGCTCTTCTTCCTACAGCAGTACAAACCAGGAGTGTGATTCCAACAGGCCATTTCAACAGTGGGTTCAGCTAAACAGCTTGGAGATAACTCCCATCAGATAAACGGAAGCTGTTAACCCAAGGAAAACATTTGGTGAAAGCATAAACCCAAAAGGCAGAGCGCTGAGAGCAGCTTTACACGCTAGCTCTGCTCAGCCAGGTGCATCAGGGACAGAAGCATGGCTGCCAGGGCTGGCTCCTGCAGGGCTGGCCTACTGCATGCTGCAGTGAGACACGTCTGAGGCCTTTCTCCCTGCTCCTCTGTGCCACAGCAATGACATTTTATGCAAGAAACCCAGATATTTGCAAAGTAGTAAAATAGCTCAGATTGCTCACACATTTCTGCAGGCAGCTTTTGCTGGTCTCTATCACCTGATGTAATTTCTGCCATATTGCTGTGACTTGGCCATCTCTTCTTGAGACCGAAGAGCCTGTTACAATATCTTCCCACAAACCTGTGAGAACTGGATGCTGGTTATCAGAATACCCAAATTCAGCACGAGAGCAGCTCTGCTCGCTTCTCATCCCGGAGGGCAACATAAGACCAGTCCCAGGGAGGGGTGGGGAAAGGACAAAGCATGGAAATAACCCGTGACACAGCAAGTGATTAAATCCCACTTCTGCCCACAACAGCAGCCTTTACCTTCTCGTTTTTCCTCTCTTCGGCCTTGCCAGCAGTGCTGGGGCTTGCAGGGCCACCCAGAGGTCCGCTGCCTGCCTCACCATTGAGGTGGGCTGCGCTGACGTTGGGCGGTGTGATGGCAGCTGCGGCAGAGGTGAGGGGGATGAGGGGCCGGGCCCCCGGCGTGGGTGGCTGGTGGCTGTGCTGCGGGGAGATGGCAGAGTGAGGCCGGATGGTGGTAGCCGGCAGGCGGGAGGGTGAGCTGGGCGTCCGCAGCGGTGAGACCGTGGCGGTGGGACGCTCCGGCGCTGGAACCGGGGGGTGAGCTGTGAAGGGAGGTCAGAGCATGGTTAGGTCCCCACCGTGCTGCCAGAGTCACTGCTGAAAGGATGCTGGGGGGTGATGGAGACCTACAGCGCTTAGCCTGCACTGAGGATACCTGAGCCCGAATGTGTTTTTGGCAAAATCCTAGAAATTCCATTTCCCAGCTGCAAAAGTCCGGCCTGTGGTCAGCAAAATGGCTATTCCTCCCTACTGCTGCCAGAGGGCTAGTCTTGCTATCTTGCTATCCATCCCCACACTCAGAAATAATTCCTAAGTCAAACTGATTTTTTAAATACATAATCTCACTTCATCTGAGCTGTTTTCCAAACTGGCAAGACACCCTCCTAATGCTGCTGTTAACTCCCTGAAATGCTAGGGGGCATTAAAGTATGGGGCCTAAAAGGTTAGCTCGCATGATCCATGATGAGCTTGGAGAAGGCAATTACAAATGAAGGTCTCTTGTTTCAGCCTTAACAAAATGATCAGCGGCACAACACTGAGCTGTGCAAGGTAAATTAAGCAGGAATCCACGGGAGACTTTCTGAGATCAGCCTCATCCCTGCCAACAAGGTCCCTTAGAGACTGTGCAGTGCCTTTTAGTCTAGCTTGCCCTTATGAGCACACTCTGGCTGTAAGCATTAGGAACCTGAACTGGTGCTCAGCTGTTTAATAGTGACCACGACTCACTGCTGAGGTCACCTCTCCAGGGATCTGTGAGCCCACTGCATGCCCCATGTTTCAGAAACGTGATGAAGCTCCAGGTCCTTTCCCTCAATGATGTTTCCTTTGACTTCCACATTGGTTGACTGCTTAGGTGTAATCTACTTACACTTCAGGTAGGAACAGAGCAGAAGCTGAGTACACATTCAGACATTCCCCCATTTAAATGATTCAATGCTAGAACTGGCTGGCAAATACCCATTTCACATTTCAGGGTTTCAGAATCTGATTTAGTTCTGCACCAGTGCAACATCTGAACATTTGAACACTTTTCTGAGCACAACCTATTGACCCTCTCAACAGTGGCCTCTTCTGCTGGTCAGGGCATCTACCTAGAATGAGAAAGCACACAATCTAGTCACTGGGCACTCACTTTGCCTCCCTCCTTGTTTTTGTTGCAGCTTTCTGGATGAAGTCCAAATTACCATTCCCAACAAAAAGCTTTATTTCAAGAAGCCAGATTTCTTCTACCAAGACAATTGCACTGATCTGTGGATTCCTTAATTCATCTAAAGGATACATTTTAACCCGGGACCAAAAGCAGCTATTGGAGTTCACTCAATCTATAACTAAGCAACAATGCTAGAACAACTCAAACCATTATTTTTTTGTTTCTATAGTTAGCAACAGCACCCATTACCAGGGATTAAAATGACAATGAGTGTCATTTGTCACACTGACTACCAGCTGCATACTCATGTAGTTGGGAGGAAATTTAATCCTTCAGCTTTATGCCGTATAATGCTGAACCTGATGGGCAAGAAATCATCAGATTAGCACCTCTGAAGTTTACATGTTTCTCCCTCACAGGAACTCTCACCGTAGACATTTCTTTCTGTTAATGTTGTTCATAGAAAACCAACAAAACTATCATTAACTGGTCTTAATCTTGCAGCGATTTTAGATGTAGCATGAGAAAGGCAATAAAAGCTGTTATTAGAGACTCCTTCAAGGCTGTTCTTCTTATTAGTTACCAATTCCTTTTTCCTTGGACTACCAAGAACACCTATTGGAAAGTGCAATCCTTTTCTGGAGAGCCAGACTACCACTGGTTATCTTGAACCGATTATCTCCTGATTTTCCTGTTTGAAGCTTGTGTAATGAGCAATCTCAGCTGCTAGAAATCTAATTTTCTGAGATGGTTAAGCTTGCAGGGTCAAGGTTTTGAACTACTGGTTGCAGAGAGGAATGGCTTTCCTAAATCTGAAGAAAAAGCACCGTAATGGAATTTCTCAGCATGTATCTGGATGTGGAAGACTAATTTGATAATTATATTAGGTACATTAATTCTTTCATATAGTCCTCAGTGTTTATAAACACAAAGGAATGAGAAAGCAAGTAAACCAGCAAAATAAAAGGCCTGAGAAAAATCAACCGTGAGCAAGGCTCTCACATTTTTTTTTCCTGTAATTTCATCTTCTTCCTGTTACAATGTATGCCTTTGCTCTGGGATCTCTGGATCTGGACTGTGCTGCATCAAACATGCTATTAATTAGCAATGCTCACTGAAGGCTATTTTTGTTCTACACCACTCATATTTCATTTTGGGTGTATTCCTACATTAGTGGCCTTGTGCAAAATTGATTTGTTACTCATACATATTGCAAGCCAACAGAAAACGTGATTTGAATACTGTGCCAGCCTGCTTCTCCTGGAAAGCTTCTCAAAAAGGGAATGTGCATTACCTCATCCTGCAGGACTTTAGAGACCTTCTTGAGGGGCAGTGGTCCACTGTGTATCAGTCAGGACATATGTTATGAAGAAAAATACTTCAGGGGATCCCACTTGCCTGACTGCATGGGCACAGGAGGCACTGGGAAGCTCCCAGAAGCTGTACTACCAGAGATGCTCTCCCTTAGCACCCTGCAAGCCCTGCACAAGAAGGGATATTTTTGCCTTTACACTGCAGGAGCAGAAGGGCTTTTGATAGTGTGTCTTGAGGGGAAAGAAAGCAGCAGCCCTCTAAACTACACAAAAAGAGAATAAATTGATTATCCCCCAGTGCGACATAACTGGCATGTAAAGTCCTGCTGATGTTTGCTGAGCAGAAGGAGCTTGCTCTGTTCCAGATTCACATTCACGTGTATTTGATTACATTTTCTTGTCTTTGGCCTGGACTGCGCAGGAAGTAAGATTAGATGGTCACAGTGATCTCTTCTGGCTTCAAACGGTATGAATCCATGACTTACACTACACTATATTGCTCATTTGGGTTTGCTTCATTTTGTATCAAAGACCTCAGTCTCACTGCGTTTGTTGATCTGCCTTTGTAAACACTGTGGCTCACATCCCTATAAAGTATCAGAAACAAAATGTTTTAAATTTTTCTGTGAAGTTCCACCGCAGGATTTACTTTTACTTTATTCAACATCAGAGCTGCTTAACATCAGGGAAGAGGGAATAAATTGTGCTCCAGAAAATTGTGCCATACATCAAAAAGGAAACCCAGAAAGAACAGAGCCCCCCTGGCGTGAGAAGCTCTTATTCTCGTTCCAAAAAGGTGGCAGTATTTTTCAGATCTCTCTCTCTATCACTAACACCGGGTCCCCTTCTGCCTAATAAATACCTTTCATCCCTGCAGCCCAATGAAATGCTTTTTAATTTTAAGATGTGCGTTCCTTGCTCTGTGATACGGGCAGTATTTCTCCGTCAGTGTGCCAACCGGACCCGGGACTGCTAATCTCCTTAGTATGCAGGGTGCTTGCTTTCGCTCAGATAAACTGAATAAATATTTGTAAACACCGTAATCTATTTCAGCTGTAGCAACAGAACAATCTGATAAACACAACGCGGTTCCCAGAGATCAATAGAAGCCTATAAATATTACAAGCGAATAAAGCACAGTCTATTCCACGCGGAGCTGTGTTGGAACTGGTGGAAGCAAGCTGCGGGGATGGGCAGCTTGGGGCGGCTGTGGAGGCTCCTGCAGGAACACGTACGTACCCATCTGCATGGCGCTGCGGGTCTGGTTGGCGGGCTGCTGTGCCGAGTACCTCAGGCAGTTGTTCAGCTGTGGAGAGGCTGCTTGTAGCTGGGGATGTGTCTGAGGAGTTGTGATGGGGACGGCTGGCCTGACAGCTGTGGCGGCGGCGGCATGCACGGCCCCAACAGGGTGGATGGATCCAGGGGCTCCTTTCGGGGCCTGAGCTCCCCCGGCTGCGCTGGCCCTGGGCTGCCCGGCTCCCACTGGCACCCTGTGTGGAGATGGAGATCACAAACTTCAACACCTGGGCAACACAATGATGGGTGTCCCCAGTTACTCAACGCGGTACTCCCTCGAGTATTAAACTGAGCTTTATTTGTATCTTTACAGGACACAATAAGTATACTGGAGGACATTTTTACCCCCTCATCTCGTGCAAAGACGTGTAGGGTGAAAACAGAAAAGATAATTTTTCCAACCAGTTTTTTTATTAGGCTATGCTTCTGTCTATATAATTTCTACTGAAAATGCAAATCTAAATTCAGAAGAAATTAGTATCTCCCAAATGTTGTTTTATGGGCCAGAAGCTATTTTACAGGCAATAATGGAGCAATAATTAAAACAGACTCGGAGATCTTCCTTAGGGCCAAACCTGCATAGAGCCTCACAGATGGAAAACAAGATGGAAAGCAGCAAATTGGTGTGTGGCTTTTAAAGGGGACTGAAAAGCAGAAGGCTTGGCAGGGGTGGGCTTGCCTGAGCTCCTTTGGTTTACCTATGAGCTTTGCTTTGCCTCCTGAGCTTTACCTGTGCAAGCAGCCCTAGCTTAGACTCGCTAAGAAAACAGAAAAGGCAAGTGACTGCAGCTACCCTTACTGGAAAGGAAATTCGACAATAATAGGGCCCTCTTTTCCTGTTATCTTAAGCTGCATGTATAACTTTTCTCTCATCTGAATGACCATGAAGACCTCAGCAGGGAGGAACGAGGCCCTGCAGTGAGTTCAGTCTAAATCACTTCTCATTGCTCTTACCACTGAGCTAGAAACTCTCCGACCAGGGCAGGAGGACAGCAATGGACAAACTCGCTTGCTGCTCAGCAGCTCTTGCTGAGTTTCTTGCTTAGTTTCTCAGTAATTTCCCAGCAGGAGACACTATGAAACAGAGGTTTTTGTGCTGTCCTCCTCTCCTTAGCTGCTCCATGTGCCAAGGGCCTCCACCAGCAAAGGGCAGCAAAGGGGATATGATGCAGAACAAATTATGAAGGAAATGGAAATAAGACATTGTAGGGTGTGAGCAAAGGAGAAGGATATAGCAGACAGGGTGGAAGACCAACATATGGGGGTGGGATTGGGAAAACTACTGGGGTCCCAAGCAGTTGTGTGGGAGAGGAAGGAGGAGGGAATATGCTGAACAATCAGGTACAATTAGAGGATAAGACAGACTGGAGAAGCAACCCCACGAAAAGACTGGAGGGATGAAGAGTGGAATTCTGATAGACAGGCCAAAGGACAGGGTGGAAGATAAGATGGAAGGTTTAGAAAACAGCTGTCTCCTCTGCCCCTTCTCTTAACAAAGAAAAACACAGGAGGAAAAACACCGTGTTATTGGTGTCATATGAAATCTAGACAGGGTTTGCTTGGATTACATTTTGCTAAATGTAATTCTTCTGATTTTTTTTCTTCAAACTTTTTTCATCAGCCTTCAGGTAGAAAGAGGCTAGGAATCCCACCAGATGGAAATCTTGACTGTCATCTGCCTTGAAAAGCTGGCAGAATAGGAGCAAGGATCAGCTGGAACTGGCTTGGCCATCTGTGCTAGATTGGGTTTGCCAGAAAAGGACACCCAGTAGTCCACAGAGGGCTGCCTGTACACCAACAGGTACAAAAACCTCATTTGTGACTGTAGTACTCCTGGGTGGAGATTGGATATGGCAAAATATGTCTTTCAGTCTACCTGGGGAGGCTTGCCCTTTTCTCACCATGCTTTCCTCACATGTGCTCTGACAGCTTGTAAATCTAGTTCACAGTTATTAAATTCATGGTCAACTTCTTTTTCTGGGGTTTTGTAAGGAGTGGCAGAAAACCATGTACGAATCTAACTCTCTGCTTTACTGTCAAAACAAAAGGGAACAAAGCAAGTTTAAAGCGCAGCAAACAAGGTATTTTGTTGCTAGCAGATTTTTCTTGCTGTTCTCACTGACAGTGATTTACACAGGAACTTAATTAGTGCACAGGATCATAAATATAATCATAAGGCTGCTTTTGGGCTTAGTGGAAAGGACTTTTGCCCTTCAGCACTTTTGTGTCTTGTTCTAGCTGTGACATGCTGCATTTAATAAAGTCTTGCTGATTCAGATCAACAACACTTCAGCACAAATCGCTTTACTAATTAAAAACTGAAGAGGCAAGGAGTGAAGGCTGCCAAGGGCCACTGTAAAATCAGGTAAATACATTTAGGTTGATGAGCAGTGAAGACCCCATGAAGTAATGCTTTTTTTTTTTTTTTAAAGCTAAAATGCAGTGTTAGGACTGTCAACAGGCTTAGTCATCATCTTCTCATCTGTTCTTTATTTTATTCTTGCCCAGACCACATATTAAAGACTTCAGACTTCATATAAACTGAAGATGGAAGAAACCAGGACCAATTTTTGAAGATCAACACTCTCTGAGTAGTGGAGTACTTTTCTCTGCAGAGAAACAAAAGATGTGGGGATTATGTGCCTATGGGAGGATGCACTGACAGTGCGTGAGAAGAGATGCTCAATTTGCAAACCCAGGGTTGCTCTAAAGGAGAGACGAGCAAACACATGGCAGCATTTGTCTGCAAGGAACATATGTGATAAAGCAGTTGGGGAGCCTGTGAACTTTCTCCTCAGCTTTCAGACTATGTCAGAGCAGGCTATGGATCAGAAACACTCTGATTTGTTCTTTTCCAATACCAAACTCTGACAAATGGCTTTCCTCCCCATACATGCTGTTCTTTCCTTTTCTCATCCCATGCAACAGACAAAGGTAGATAAAATGAAACAGTCTGCTGAACTCTTCTATCACTTCTGAACACTAATGGTTCAAACATTAGTCTTGTACTAAATGATCCAAAAGGTCTGATTTCAGAAAAACAAAATCTAGGTGAGGAGCTAGTACAAAGCAAGCCACAAGCATTCCTTGCTTTGTTTAGTCCTGGTACATGACCAGTAGTTACAAAAGAATGCGAAATGAGTAGCAAATTGATCACAGAATCATAAAATCACCTGAGTTGGAAGGAACCTTTAAAGATCATCTACTCCAACGCTCCAGCAATGAACAGAGATGCCACATCTACAGCTCAATCACATTGCTCAGAGCCCTGTCCAGCCTGGCCTTGAGTGTCGCCAGGGATAGGGTATTCACTCCTTTATGGTCAACCTATTCCAGTGCCACACCATCCTTATTATAAAAAAAAAAAAGCCTTTTTTTTTTTTTTCTTGTATCTAATCTAAATCTCTCCTCTTTTAGTATGAAACCATCTCCCCTTGTCCTGTCATAGCAGGCCCTACTAAAGAGTCTTTTCCATTCTGAGCAATAATAAAAGCTGGGAACATCAGACTTTGTAAAGTTGGGGGTTGTAAATACTGTCACCTAACGCAACTAGTTAAGTCTTCTGAGAGTGTGGATAACTGATGCTGCACCAGCAAGTCATGCTACCCAAGTCTGCAATGGACAAAAAAAATTCAGGTATGGGGAACGTGATTGAAAAGCAGAGCCACCTTGTTTTTGGCATCCTCCAAACACAGAATCCTTCCTACTCTATCCCAGGCACTTCCACCCTGGCTGGCAGTCCTCACCTGGAAACAGGTGTCACATAGTTCCCTGGGAAGACCCCAGACATGCCGCTCCTCAGAGACGTCCCCTTGAACCAGCCATCCTGGCACTTCTCAATTACCCGGTACATCTCGCCCTTGCGGAGCTCCAGCTCATCATTCTTCTGGGGCTTGTAGGCATACAGGGCCAGGTAGCTGTGGGGAGAGGTCACACAAAGAAAACACACAGCTGACATCAGCCACCAACTGTCCCACCTCAACTCCAGCCCTGTGGAGCAGAAGGTGAGCAGAAACACTGCTCTGAAGCAGTGGCTGAAAAAGGGCATCATTACAGCACAAGGAACAAGGAATGACAGAGACAGATCAGCTGTGTGCTGAGACAATAAGGGAACAGCTAATGAGATTAAAGGGACGGGGTAATTTAGAGATTAGCAAAGCAAACTTTCCACACGGGGTGCAACTGAAGCAAAACACTGCCACAAAGCATCACTCAGCTCAAGAATTTAGTAGCAATCTCAGAAGAAGGAGCAGTTGCAGTCAGTGCAATCAGGACCCAGGCAGGAAGGCTTCTCAAAGCCTGGATGAAGCATACATTCCTGTGCTTCAGGGTGTGAGCCACCTCTACTGTGCAGATTTTCAGAAGTTTGTCTTATGGGTAGGCTACCCCACAAATGTTGAAGGCTGCTTTTCTTGCACTTTTCACTGTGCTATTTATGCTGGCTAGTTATAGAAACAACACACTGAACTGTTTTGATATAGTTTGGTAATACTTGTACTGTGTGGGCAAAGCAAAAAGTGACAGAGGCTGACATAGCTCAGTGGTAGAATTTGGTTGTGGACCTTTTGTATGCAAGTATACTCAAATATTTAGTGCCAGTCCCAATAAGTAGAGCCTTTTATTTATTTAATTACAGCATTTATTTATTCCCTTTGTTCAGAATCTTCCTTTTTATCTCTCTTTTGTTCTTCCGCTGCTACTTTGGGGACGTGTCTAATGTTGTGAAATGACTACAACTTAAAGTCCCTGAAGGTATTCTCTCTGCTTAGAGATATCCTTGTTGAAAATTAAGAATGATTGCTTGTACTTTGGGGAATAACAGGAAGTCTGGATAGGATAGCAAGAATGCACATGCAGAACAACATTTCCTTTGTAAACACCATTTTTTTTTTTTGGTACTGTCACCTTTATACAAATGCACAATGGGATTTCTGGTGATTCTTGATCAAGGTTGTACATTGAGTTTTGGGTTTTCTTTTGTCTTTGCGTTTGACAGGTACAGAAAGATTAGGACAAATGGGGAAACACTTATGGGAAGTGCATTTACACTACAAAGTGCAGCAGAATGCTTTTAGGCTCAGGCGTGGGTGAGAAGAGGTTTGCTGCCTAACTTATAGTTGCAAACCAGAGAAATAATGAAAACTATAACCACTGTGATTTTAGACTTGCAGCCAATAAAAATGATACATGACTTTTTACATTTGCTTTCTAGGAAATATAATTGCTGAATAAATCCTGTTAGTTTTCCTTATTCTCCTCCTTTATGTCACCAGCAGATTTCCTTATTTTTATTCTGAAGGCAGTAAATAAACAGCAGTAATGAGCAGAATATGAAATATTTGGTAACAGCTCCTTGGGGCATCCTTAGGCTGATGTGCCTGGCCATATTTACCACGCGCATGGGGTACAAAGACCTAATCAGAAACTGTATTTCACTAATCAACAGATGGGAGAAACCATCCTGCACATCTTTTGCTTAGTCTACATAATTAGGTGGTCCTGAGCAGGTCTGTTGTTGTTCACCTGAAGGAAAACATGAGGCTACATCTGAGCTGCAGAACATTAAAACGCATCACCCTGACACGAAATAAGGTTACATGCTTCAGTGTTAATCCTTCAGCACAGGGCTCTGTTAGGACATAATGCAAAGTGCTGGGAACTGCACTCACTTGAGGTAGCAAAAAGCGTGGCTTCACCTTCCCCTTTTAAAATCACTGCTTAAATTTGGCTCATATTCTGTAGCTAGGGGTAAATCAGGAGTCAAGGACAGAACATTTTAGATGGTCGTACTCACTTATCCCTTTTCCCAAAGGACTACATGTAATAATGTAATTTACAGGTTGAGATACTGGAAGAGGGTTCAGAGAAAAATGCCCTAATGTGGATTGTATGCTGCTTTCTTTTGCAGCTGTCTCCAGTTCTTCTATGAGTTTCTTTCTGTTCTTCTTTGCAAATTCCCCCACCTCAGTTCCCTAAAAAAATCTTCCCTCAATTCAGTTCCCTAAAAATGTCTAAGAAAGAGCACAGCTCACAGTCTTGGCCTGGGGGAACAATCTGTGAGTCCAGTCATAATGCAAAACTCCCACTGGTCTGGCTAGGGCTGAGCTTCTCCAGGTCTGGTACAGCCTTCAGATAATGTTAACTCCTTGGCTGGAGCTTGGTTTGTCAATTCAGGATGTCTGAGTGGATGATGAGGCTGCTTCTCAGGAGAGATGAGAAGAATGGAAGGGAGCAGCGGAGGGCTGCTGAGGCACAAGGGCAGAGGCATTGCCATAGAGCCAGGAATTAGTCTGATTCAGCAACTAAATATCAGAAATACTGCTGATTATGGCACCATTTGAAATAAATTTTTGCCCACTGTGTGTCACACAGGCTCCAACAGGGTGTCTGCAGGGTAATGATGTGACATCTCTGAGGAGTACCCAGTGACACGTAGTACCCCACAGGTGTGCAGGCCCTATACTGGTACCCAAGAACAATTTTTCCTTTGCTCTGTTCCAACTCCATCATTCTCCTTAAAGCAGATTTCCTGTTATTTTAGAAGACAATTTCTGAATTCAGATATTATTTTACTAATTTAAAACAAAAAACAAACGAACAAAGAAAAGTGCCCTAAAATACTGGCATGTGTATGTATGTGTTTATATAGTTCTACTGCTTACATGAAGCATGTGCGATCAGAGGAAATGGCTGAGACTATACAGGTATAGCAAATTAGCCAATTGGACTGGAAGAGATTTATTATAACAAAAGCTATCACTCTGTTCTTTACCTAGTCAACCTTCTGTTTTTCCACACGCTATATAACAAGCTCACATGCCCATGATACCCTTGTACTTTATATGTTTGTTTGATGCCTTTGCTGACGGCACTGAAAAAAATGCAAATGGGTCACCTTTTTCTAGTTAACGATGAATGTATCAGATGTTTGATTACATAGGACTACATCTTTCAAAGAGCTTTAGCTGAATGAAGGAGGAAGATTTTCCCTAGTTGAGAGGCATTCCATTTCCTTAACGGTGATTCATGTAGCAGTAATAAATACAGCAGGAGTCTCAAAGAGAAAGGGAAGTCTTGCTTCTCACGATTCATTTTTCAGCTTCATCAGAGGCTGAGTTGTGTAAGAAATTGTGGTATCTCTCTTCTCAGTGCTCCTGAGCCGAGATTCACGCTTGCAGACTTCAAACACACGTACACATGCACATGATTGGAAACAAAGAGTAAGAAGTGAGTGAGACGAGCTGAATGCTTACATATTGAGGGGGAGCTGGACCTTCGGTGGTACTCCCTGATCTCCAATTATTGCACTTGTCCTGGGACCAGCCACCGTGGCTGTTCCAATTGAGGAGGAATCCTGAAAGTATACAAGAACATGCAAGGATTAAGGTGAAGCCCACTGTTACCTGAAATGGAAATGAAGGCGCATCATTTCTCAATTCACAGACTTCCTACTTTTATAATGCTGCATTAAAAAATCTTCCAGCCTTACATGTTCTAGAAGCACATTTCTGACAGAGGGGATATTAGCTTATTAACTGCATTTCTACGTATGTGGCAGAGAAAATCAGATGTAATCTGTGTGCAAACCTTAACTTTTAGGAAACAAAACTACTTGACTGCTCTGTAAAATCAGCTTAACATGCACATCTCTGCAATAGTAGCTTTTGTGGTAAAGGTATCCATTTCCCTCCGTGGCTTGTTTTTTTTTCTCAGTTTTAACTTCTTTTATTAATGACTTATGGATCTATGGGGAAGAATATATTATTGCATTTCCAAAACGCAGTCACATCTCTGTACATGGTTCTTGTCCTGAGGAATACTCTCCTTATTAAAGAGACAGGTGACAGCTTAACCCAGAACTCCATTTCTGAATGCAGAAATTATGCTCTACTTTTACCACAGCGAATAAACCACCACCCTCATACAGAGAACTGGGCAGGTATATTTTCCATCTACTGATGTTGAAAGGCAAATCTGAGTGTGATAATTCCTCTTTCAAAATTTAATGCTGAGCTAAAATATGTAGGGCAAACTCTTTGGAGTTGTCTCACCAAAGTTCCTATTCATCTATGTCAAAAATGAATCCTGCTCAGAAACTTACTCTGAAATAATGACAAGGGCTGTAGCAACATATCTTTGCTTCAAATATACGGCAGGGCCAGACTGATGGGATGTGCAATAGTTTACCTGAGCGAAAGATTATTTTTGTAAGTCCAGCCAAATGCTGGATGCACATCTATACGTAGAATGGATCTACAAATCCTAGATTTATGTACAAACTGCAGGTTCAGACAGAGTCTCTTCCATACAGCAAAGATTCTGAGTGGTTCACAGACCTCCAGTGCAGCATTTTTCTTTCCAAATGCTATCTAGCAAACAGTAAATTTTGGTCTATTTTAGGAACAGAAACGCAGAGACATTTCTTTGCACTTACAAATGACACTGAATTAAACCAAGACACACATTGCTACTTAATTAAAAGATTTCAAGGTCACCTCATTCCAGAGAAGCCCACATAATTATTACAGTGTCATGTCTTGATATTTCATTGCTAATTTATATTGCTTTGCTGAATATTAACACAATATCATTAAGAAATCAAGCAGTGAAATATGAAGACTCTGCTCTGTGACTCCCCAGCTTTTGGCAACAAGCAGCAAGCTGTCTCCTCTCTCACCAACATCCACACTCAATCATGAAGTTGTAGTGACAAGTACATCTCCTTTTTCTCATTATTTCCCCACTCTCTGGCTGCACATTCAAACAAGGAAGATTCCAGGCAGCTCTTAGCCCTATGTGTAAAAGTAAGTATTCTTTCCAGTTCTGCAGCTAAGGCTCTATTAATCCTCCCTGTCACGTCAGTGAGGTAGTAACAACCCACCCAAAAATGTAGGCATAGCTGGGGCATGATCCCTCACTTGTTTTGAGCTTGTTAATGAGAGGGATGCTGGGCAGAGAGACAGAGTACATGTTTCACCCAAGACACAACTGGGAAATCAACCGGAGCAAACTTCTTTGCGTTGTACCACCAGCGTGTGTCTTATGGGAGCTACATGAATTGCCTCCTAGAGATCTGCTATCCTCCCCTTAGATCATTCAGCCCTCTCTCTGCACACCTCTGCTCAACCCCGGAGGGCAGCAGCTGTGTTAGCATCAGCCATTTGCTTGTTTTTGCTGAAGGTGGTGGCTACTGCAACATCGTTGCTGGAAGCATGAGCCCAAATGCTTTCTATTTTACTATTATGCTTGTGCCAGCATACAGTCCTAGGGATTAAGACATAATTGTCGATGTTGCTTTCCTCCCTTGACCAATTCTGAAGAAATCTGCATAGCCCTGTGTGTTTTCTATCCACCTGATTTTTGGTTTCTTTCCTGTTGTCTGTTACTGTAATACTGCTGCACCTGGTGCTGCTGCCTTGGACCCTACAAACTGCTCATTTTTGCCACTTCACTCAGCCTAGTATCATATGCATCTGAACTCTAAATCAGCGCCTGCTTCCTGATCGTGGTTCAGTTTCTCTATAGCTGCTCCCCCCTGCAGGCTTGACATGATGGGGTTCTTGCCAGTCTGCCTACATTCCAGCTTCTCATCATCAAGTTTTACTCTGCAGGACCCAATGGCCTTCCACAGTGCTGAATCCAGCTCATCTGTTCGTGTCTTGGCGTTGCCTTTCAGACAAGTACTGTTCTCAGCAGTTCCGTGCACCCCATGCTCTGTGATGAGTTCTCTCAGTGGCTGCCTGATTGCTGCTACGTGCCTGAAAGTTCACTGCTTTGCATTTACAGCCCCTGACACAGTTGGTGAAGGCTTTCTAAGCCTCCTCTTTCAGGCTCCCTGTTCTCTGTTTCATTTATAACTATTTAGCTCATATTACAAGATACAATACTGCAAGATTGTTTTGCAAGATAATAATTGCGAGAAGATTAGTAGACCCTGTCTACTGTGAGAGACTCAGCTATTATTTCCTCACACTTCTGATTACCTTTGCTAGAAGCTTAACGTTCTGCTTTCTCTTTCCATAGTTTTATGTGGGTCTCTGCAGCTGCACTAGCAGCTCTCCTGGAGCATACAGAGGGCAGCAGGACTGTTTTCCTCCTACATTTAGCCCTACAGCCAGGTTGTACTTTCATTATTATGATCTAAGGAACAAGGTACTAAACATGCTCTCCTTTCCTCTTCATCTGCTCAGGGGAATGGGAATCTGAGATAACACTCAGATTTTTTGTTCTGTATTGGATAACCTTTGGGAAGTCTGTGTATTCATCAATCCTTTCTGATGGCACAGACATTACACAGAGTAGACTCCAACACTGCAGCACTGGGATATTTGTCCTTCCTGTACCTCTGATGATTGCTGTCACTAGGCCTTATTGAGAGGAGATGTCCCTCACATTCAGACTTTTAAGAGGCTCTCATAAAAACAGGCACCTCGCAGAGTTTGCTCAGGGAGGCACTAAAAAGTACTTCTCTGACCGATTCCCACAGATTTTAATGCAACCTAATAGAACTCATTTCTGAAAATGCCTTTTAGTGGCCCTCTGTATCCTTATGAGCCTCTAATGCCTTAAATGCTTGGCCACTGAGCTTCCAGATGAGGCTTGCTGTGCAATTACACTCTTCATGAGGAGGATATCTACCTAGTGATGTTGTGCAGCTTTCTGAGTTAGACCCTGCCAACCCTCACCCCAGGTACTTAGGCCACTACTCAACCACCTCTGACTTCTTCCCTTCCATCTGGCATCCTCCAGATGGACTCGCCATGACCCAAGTCCCCAGCTCAACAGCAACAGTTCTTCTTTGCTCCAGAACAGCTTGGCCTAGTTGCCTGCACAAAGGCGCACTGAGGACCACCTTCAGATACCTCCACAGCAATCCTTGCTCCTTTGTTTCAGTGCAGAGACTAGAAAGAAAGACTTATGAGGAGCTGTTGATGGGATTGAGATTGTTTGGTCTGGAGAAGAGGGGGCTCAGGGAAGACCTCATCACTCTCTACAACCGCCTGAAAGGAGGCTGTAGCGAGGAGGGTGTCAGTTTCTTCTCAGGTGGTAAATGATAGGATGTGAGGCAATGGCTGCCTGTGTCTCTAGGGGAAATTTCAATTCGATGTCAGGAATAATTTCTTCACACAGATGATGGTCAGGCATTGGAAAGGACTGCCAGGGAGATGGTGGAGACCCCAACCCTGGAGGCACTGAAGAGATGTGTGCACACAGCACTAAGGGATACGGCTTAGTGGTGGCACTCAGCTTGGTGGCTGCATTTGGTGATCTTGAAGGTCTGTTCCAACCTCAATCATTCTATGATTGTATGATGTGCTGCAGAGTTATGCCACAGTACCCTGGAATTCTAAATGTTGAGTAGAACTTCCATCTGACTCAATACAGTTTTTAGATACTTAAATAAATAATGGCACCTCTCGGGTCACATCCAAAACAAAGAGGTCCACAGCTAGCTGAGAAAACTGAAGTTTCCAGATGACTGTGCAGCCCGAGGGTCAACATTTCCTGATGAGAATGAATAGTGCAACTTTCACAGAAGCTATTGAAACAAGCCTAAGCTCAGATGGGTCTCATTCCTCCTCCTGATAAGTGTTATTTACAAGAGAACTACAGGAGCATCAAAACAAATCATGTTTTAATGTATATGTAATGATATAGTTCTATTACATTTTATAGCATATACTCCTGAGTAAATAATACACTACTGAGATGTTGCTGCCTCTTGTGTCAGGTCTGACATATATTTAAAAACAACCAGACAGGCAAAACATTACTGACAAGCCCACAGAGATCAGGAAATTAAAGGTAATAACTGCTCATCCAGGCTGGAAGTTCATTTCAAATTCATTCCCTTTCTCTCTTCCTATTCACACCTCTGTGAAAGCAGAAGGATTAGTACTCTGGACTTCCAGCATAAACTATCCTTTTTCTCTCCCTTGTAGATTCACTTTAGATTCCCACTAGTACTTTGAGGCTATGTTTGTTGTTTAATTTGAAAAGACATAGTGCCTGCAGGGATTAGGGAAGTGTCTTGCAAAAGCACAGGATTCAGTCTTGGAGGGGAATAGAAACCATGAAGACAATGATAAAAGTGGGACCAAAGTACAGGAATACCGCAGTTTGCAGCAGCCTTCATGGAAAAATAATTGCTGCTGCTATCGTGTGAATGTTCTATCATCAAGAAAATCACCAACCAGAAACCTCTATTTTGACTTCAAAGCAAATCCAGCACTGTGTCACCACAGGGCACTTATCACATTCATTAATTCACAGGGAAATTTCTTTTAATGTCTTGAATGCATATTTACAGCTTACTTAGAATTTCTCTTTAGTATTACTTTATAATAAGAGAAA